ATGATGATGATGATGATGATGATGATGATGATGATGATGATGATGATGATGATTAATCTTCTTTATTATTACCTTGACCATGTGGTCGGCAGCGAGTGTCTCCTTGATGAACTCTTTCCTCTGCTGAGGCAGCTTGACCCGTCTAAGGATCTCGCTGAGCATGAAGCGTCTCTTGTCTCTGTCCGCCTCCAGCCACGTCAGAATGGCGTTACAAACGCTGTCCTCGTCCGGCACCACCAGCTCATCCTGCTCTATGACGGAGATGAGCTCTTTGCACGTCAGATGTCGAAACATCGGCGTCTGCCATATTGCTAGAAAATGGTTGTTGATCACCCAGCGAGCTTGCTCTTTCATCAGCGGGCTCGAAGTCGAGTTTGCAAGTTTGAAAATCCTGAGGCAGTTACTGGCGTCGATGTTTTCGCTGAGGTATAGATCTGCCATGTCGTGGAGAGACGAGAGTTGGAATAAACAAGCGGCTTTCAAGATGTCTTCCGCGTTGTCCAGATTGAGCGGGCACTCTCCGGTGTAAAGAAAATCCAAAATCAAATCCAGAATTGTTTTGGAGACGTTCGTGAGGAAAATTTTATCAATGGGGGATTCACGTCTACCTGTGAAGAGGCGGGTGTGGAAGTAAGGGGAGGCCGAGGCGAGGATCACCTTGTGACAACGGACAGCTTTTCCTTCCACAACCAGGGTGAGGTCAGTGTAGAGACGACGGCGCCACATCCCGCCCAGGGCGGCCATCATGTCAGACAAGTGACGGTATCTGTAAGGAGAAGACGATTTAGACAGACCCTTTCAATGGCACGCGTTTTTTTTTTTGGGGTTACTCATGACGTGTGACTGAGTTGTGCATCGTTGCAAGTGTATCATTGAATATGAATGTACAGAGTATATTATTGTTGCGTTTCTGTGTTGATGCTGAATCTTTGTATGTTGATGTTTTGGTATGCATGAATTTATACAGTTTCCCTCGTGAATTGATGAAGTGTATCTTATCTTATTGACCTTATATTATTTACCCTATTTTGTCTTGTCTTAATTCTCTATAATTTTACAAAATAGGTCAATAGAGTATCATGGCTATCAGAAAATGAATTGAAGTATATGTACCATAAGTTGTTTTTCATTTGAATTAAAGAAAAACAAAGTCCACACATAAACTATTGTTTTCTTATAAAGATGTAGGGAACCTTTTCTGGCGCCTTGAAAATGGGACAGTTTTGTTTTCAGCGAGACCTCTATGAATTATAATGAAAAACTGGAGTGCCTGAGCTGATGAGTATAGGGATGAGTTGGGCCTTTTTTAACAAGGCGGTCATCATTTTCAAAATTAATGTTTTATGTGGCGATTAAGGTATTTTGAAGACAGAAGAGTTCTATGATGGTGGTCAGAAGCTAAGAACAGAGATCATAAGCGATTGGGAATTGAATGGGAACTGAGTTCGCCTAATATAGCAGAGAAACGTTTCTGTTGAAGTCTTTTTTTTTTGGGGGGGGGGGTTAACAAAAGAAAACTAAGTCCTGTTGACGATCGTGGGAGAGTCCGAAATTTTACTATAATATAAAGATATGTCGTGGAATATAGGCTATAGGCTACCTGAAATCCGGGGGACAATCTAGGTCCACATCCACGTCATCGTTTGTTGTGGTGTCGACGTCATCTGTCTCCGACTCCTCCTTGATGGCATCTGTCTTGCCGTACACGCGCGGTGAATGATGGGAAGACTGGCGTTGTGAGTGGATGCTGGACACGGTCGAGGCTTGGGACACACTTCTGCTGCTTTGAGGACCCGGAGGTACTGGGACTGTTGTTAAATAATAAAAAACTTTTGTAAGATAAAGCCGCACGTTATGTCATGCATCTTTTCTATAACACAGTCATATTATTATCACGAAGACCGTTGCGACGGTCAAATCCGTACGAAAGAAGGTAATGTCGAGATGAAAAGTCATGATAAAAATAATTATATATTATTGTTACGAGCTTGTTGTTGGTAGCTGTTTTAAGGCGCTCGCAATTTCATAAGGTCATATGAGCGTGAGAGACACATTAAACATCTTAATGTTTGAGGGAAATTAATTT